CCCCCCCCCCCCCCGGTCTGTTATGTGATGCGTAATACTGATTGGTTTGGGAACATGTAGCTAGTCAGAGTTCACCATCTTAAATGGTTTGTGACCAATGTTTTGAGCCAAAATTATGCCTGATTTTTTGGTGTGTATTCTGATAGTTCCAGTTTCACTTAACTTGCAGTTACAGACAAAAATAATAATTGTAATGAAAAATTAAAAGTGGTACTCAAAAATCAGTGCCTCTCAATACCAGAATAACTTATTACTATATCACAATTGTATTTATTTGAAAAATAGAGAATGAACTCTACCATGAATTATGAAATGTAGTCTCTCTCATATGTTTATTTACAGATTGTTGAAGTTTGCTTTTATATTTTTTACATCAAGTCATTACCCACAAGTAGAACTGTTTTATATCCAAGAAATGAAAATGAGGGTTACTGTTTGGCCATCAATATATTGTCATGGACACAGTGCTCCTGAACAGAAATGTCAGTATTAATACTACGAAAGTTGTAACCAATCATGGTTGGAATGGGTTTTTGTCTTTTGTTATGTAATGTATTTTATACATAATCACTTTTCATCCTCAAATAACCCTGTAATGTAATCATCATTATCTTGCTTTTTAATATTTGTAAGATCATATGAGGCCCTAAGGTCTGAGCAAGTTCTGAACTCAAAACCCAGCATTTTGGTCCCAGTGCAGTTTTGTCTTTCTGTTATAGGGGTTAATAGACATATTTCATATAGTGATCATATTATGTTAAAATGGAATTTTGTGGGGGCCAGGATGTGGCATGATGTTTAAGGTGCTGGATTCTCACGTGGCCAACCCGATTTGAGTCCTAAACCTGGAGGCATGAAAATTATGCTGGTCATGTGTGCATGCATCATGCATGCCCAAAATCTCAAGGAGAATGGAAGAGAAAGGATGGCAACTTGGCCATCCCTCCTGGAGTTTGATTTCTCCCTTTTCTTCTCACTGTTTCTCTATGTCTTCAGCGAGTGCATACACCCTATGGCAAAAACAAAAGGGAATGATTTTATAAAAGAAATTTCTTAATTCTCTCTGTTTAATTTCTGCCCCCCCTTCCCCTATCTCAGCAGGTGGTAGTGTGTTATCCACAGTGTGGCATGAGATCTTTAAAATTGGGACACTATAATTGTGATAGTACTTCAAGACACCACGATATGTCAGTTGTGAGCTGATACAGTGGGAAAGACTAAAAACATGCCATTTTTTTTTTCTGAATTAGTAGCATTTGCCTAGAGAGATGTTTTGTTTTGTTTTGTTTTTTCACCAAAGCTGAGATACTTCGCATTGCAGTGGTAGGAAACAGTGTCCTCAAGTGAGTCGTTTGTATTCAGTACTATTCCCACACACATACACCCACAGAAAAGGTAAGCCAGTTATATGTCAGTTATTCCACAAAGCCTGTCCTTGGAACCAGAATAGGGTGTGTTATCAGGGCTGCTACTTCAGTGTGTTAGAATGATGAGAACAGTGTCCCCTCTTTCCTCAAAATTATGTGCTCAGGTGCTTTTAAATAATTTACAATAACTAAAAGGCTATATGCAATTAGGAAAGGAGGAGGACAGGAGGAGTTCCTTAATATGCAGTTTTGAATTGGTCAAGATAATTATCTCTGGATGAGACAATTTAAGGAAGGTCTGTTTAACTTGTTTCTAACCTTAATTTTGCTCAATTGCAAGATACTAGTTTAAATGTGAGTTCTCTTTTTAAAATATATTGTTATTCAGAAGTTCTTACATTTTACTTGTCAAACAAACCCTTTTTTGTGCCCTACATTTTTTTCCTTCTTTTTGCCTATTATACAAAAAGGGGGGGGGGACAGGAAGGGCAATTAAGAAGCTGCTAGATGGAGCTAGATAGTGGCTCAGTGGTAAAAAACGCGACACTGAAGCTGACCCATGTGGGGGGCTTCCAGGTTTGCGTCCAAGACCTCCCCTAAGTGTGCCGATGGTCTGAAGCTGGTTGAAGCTAGGGATGAATCAGCATCCAGACTGAAGGATGTTCTCCTCTCCCCTCCCCTCCCCTCCCTTCTGCTCCGTTTTCCTCCCCTTCCCTCCCTTCTCCTCTCTGTTACTTATGGAGAAAAAATACTGAACAACAAATAGATTGTGTAAAATGTAGCCAAAACAATAGTTAAAGAGAAATTTATAGCTTTAGAATTTGGAATTAGAGGAGTCTTGAACCCCTGAACATGAGAAGTTAGAGAGTAGCATAATAAAGTCAAAGTAAAGGAAACGATTAGAATTTAATAAAATAAACAATACAGAAGATCAAAGGTTATTTTGAAAAGACTAATAGTGATAACTTTATGGGAAGATTGATCATGTAAACAAGAGATAAGATTGGTATTCTATATCTAGCAAAAATAATATTTCAGAAATAAAGACTCATTCAGACACACAAAACCTGGAAAATTTTATTTCCTTCAGACCCACACTGCAGTAAGTGTACTAAACCAGGATGAGATGGTACCACACAGAAATACGGACCTAAACAAAGGAATTAACTACATGATCAAACAGGTGATTTATTCGTATTTAATTCCTTTAAAAAGTTTTGATGTTTAACCAAAAATTAAAGCAATGTAGTATGTCATTTTTAACAAAATGTAGGACAGCACACCGAAAGAAAAGACACTATAAAAGGTTCTTAGACTCGGGAACCAGCAGTTAGCATAATGGCTATGTCGCTGGACTCCCACGTAGTCGACCGCGGTTCGTGTCCCGGACCCGGTGGCTTAAAACTCACGCCGGGTGCATGTGCGTGCGTGCCCAAGATCCCGAGAGGAGAATGGAGGAGAAGGGATTGCAGCGTGACCATCCCCCCTGGGGGGTGATTTCTCGCTTTCTGTCTCTATGTCTCTGTCTGTCTGGCGAGCGCACACGCCCTACAGTGAAAATCTCTCCAAAAAAAAAAGAGAGAGAAGAAAAGAAAAAAAAAAAAAGGTTCTTAGACTCTGAAACAATGTACCACTCAAGGGTAGACTGACAAATAATTATATCAAAAAAAATTTTTAAGAGATTTTTGCTACAGGGCGTGTGTGCTCACAGGAGGGACAGAAAGCGAGAGATCACCCTAGAGTGTATGGCCACACCACAATCCTTTCTCCATTCTCCCCTCAGGATTTTGGGCATGCACACACACATGCACCCGGCATCAGTTTAAGCCCCCAGATCCAGGACTGAAAACATGGTCAACTACATGGGAGTCCAGTGACGCAACTACTTTTCCATCTGCTGGTCCTAATATATCACAAATTTTAAAATAAACTCTAAAATAACAAAATAGGCCAAAGTTTTCCCTGCTCTTGAAGAACAGGCTCAGAAGCTTGTGTTCTCCTCACTGTACCCCAGGAACCAGCTTTCCATAACAACTCTCATTAAGGTGTTTTCCTTCCAACCAGCAACCAGGTTTGGAAATAACAGATTATATTAGGCAGGGCGTCTACCCTAATCTCAGTAAAAGGAAGGAGGTAGGGTGGCTGAATCCCATTTGACTAACTGCATGGCTGAGACCTGGACCTGGCAGCTTGAAAAACGGGTGCGTGTGTGCATGCCCAAAATCCCTAAAGGAGGGAGAAATGGAGAAGGGATTGTAGCATAGCTACCCCCCATGGTGGGGTGCTTTCTCATTCTCCTTCTGTCTTGTCTCTGGTGAACACATGCAGCCACTGGCAAATTACTGAAAAGAATGTTACATTTCTTATCTAGAGCAGTCCTTTCATGGAAGTTGTCAAAAATCTCCCCTACCTCTTGGGCAGGGGCCAGATGTTAAAATGTTTAGCCCTCAGCCCCACAGAGTATGCTTGATTTTTATTTGTATCTTGTCTCAATAAATTAAATAAATGCATGATGGCTACATGTTATTTAATGCCATGTGGAAACACTATAAGTGGATCATAGAGGTGGGAGAGTCCCTTCTAAGGGAAAAAAAAAAAAACTAAAATTTTGAATATTGACTAAACCAGTTGAGTGACCACTTTCTAAGAAAAACATAACCTCAAGAAATCTTGAGAATGTGCTTCCCACACAGCCAAATTACAGCAGATCTTTTTTTTTTTTTTTTTGGAGAGATTTTCACTGTAGGGCGCGTGCACTCGCCAGACAGACAGACAGAGACATAGAGACAGAAAGCGAGAAATCACCCCCCAGGGGGGATGGTCACGCCATAATCCCTTC